TGAAGACCCGGTAGCACTCGATAACAAGCGTCTTTCCTGGCACCCGGGCAGGTCACTGAGACCCGAATGAGAGCGTCTTCCCAAGCAGCGGGCCTCAACCCCCATCCAAGAAGCCGTGATATTAGTCACCGCACTGAGGACTCAACATACTGGCCAATCAACGAACATGGTGTCCGAATCTGTGGAGACCCTCTGATGTGATGCGCTTCCAAGTTCGTCTATCGGGGCACTTTCCGTACTCGAGAACCATCGCCCCGGTCTCTCTCTCGACCCCCCTAACTTGGGCAGAATGGGCTCAACCCTTTTGGCTTAAAGCCCTTTTCACCCTAGATCTCTTTACCGACCTCCTCATGTCGGGATGTTTCAACTTGCAACGCCCGCACAGTTCGAGTCTTTTTGTAACGTGACACCGTAGCCGCACATGGGCACCAGTTTGGATTGTCTTCCTCTTCTTCTTCTTACGCTCATACCTTAATCGGTCGGATTTGATCCGAGGAACATAGCACCCGGTGTCTCCCCTGGGCTTGCCGCGACCTCTTTGTCGGCATTTCTTTCTTTTTCGATCCCGGGGAACTCGGACCCCTTTCCTTTTCTTCCTTGGCCTGCTTCGGACGCATGGTGGTCGGGGAAGGACTTCTTTCGCCACCAGATGGGGGTCTCATTTCAACATCCTTCCCCGAGGCCTACAAGGAAAGAAAGAATAGTAAGCTCGAAGAAGAAGCCCGAACGATAACAGTTCTAAGAAAGAAAATTACACATGATGTGGGCTCGCAATCGACCCTTCGATAACTCCATCCCAAGCACGCTCGGAGATAATGGTTTTCTACGACACCTAGGCACTCGACCCATGATGTTTAAACCTATCAAATCACGCCCGATTGACCTCAAATTTTGCACGCAAATCATATTTGACATTACGGACCTACTCGAACTTCCGAAATTTGATTCCGACCCCGATATCAAAAAGTCAACCCCCCGGTCAAACTCTTCAAAAACCTCCAAATTTCTATCTTTAGCCAAATGGCTCCAAAATGGTCCACGGACCTCCGAATTCACTTCCGATCGCGCTCCCAACTCCAGAATCACCATACGGAGCTACTCCCAATCTCGGAATTCCAAACGGACATTGATAACACCGAAATGCACTTCAAGCCAAACTTAAGAAATTTCTTCTAAAAGGCTAACTTCCACAATAGACGCCAAAACGCTCCCGGGTTATCCAAAACTCGCACCGGGCATACGCCCAAGTCCGAAATCATCATACGAACCTGCTGGAACCTTCAGATCCCGATTTCGAGGTCGTTTACTCAAAATTCCAATCCTAGATCATTCTTTCAACTTTAAGCTTCCGAAATGAGAATTCTCTTCCCAAATCAACTCCGAACTTCCCGAAACTAAATTCCGACCACGCATACAAGTCGTAATACCTGCAATGGAGTTGTTACAGGCCTCCGACTGCTAAACGGAGCGCTAGAACTCAAAACGACCGGTCGGGTCGTTATAAACCCCGTAGTCATCGTCTTCGTCAATCCCTTGCTTGTCCGATTGGTTCGGGGTTGGCATCGATGATTGCTATTGGGATTCCTGTTTCGCTTTCGAACCTGAGTCCTTTGTCGATGAGAGTGTTTATATTAGAATTATTTCATCTACGACAAACATCTCCTTTCCAGCGGGTTGTTCCCCGTAAACCGTCTTTATCCCATCTGGTGTTGGAAATTTTAATACCTGTTGAAGGGTCGAGGGCACGACCCTTATGTTGTGGATCCATGGTCTTCCGAATAGGGCGTTGTATCTCATGTCCCCCTCGATTACATAAAACTTGGTGTCCTGGGTAGTATCGGCTACATTTACCGGCAACGTTATTTCTCGCTTAGTAGTTTCGCAAGCCATGTTGAATCCATTTAGCACTCGGGCCGCAGGTACGATCTGGTCCTGTAGGCCGAGTTGCTCTACGACCCTCGATCGAATGATGTTGGCCGAGCTACCTGGATCAATTAGCACACGTTTAACTCGAGTTTTATTCATAACTACAGAAATTACTAGTACATCATTTTGGGTTTGCATGATTCCTTCTGCGTCCTCGTCGTTGAAAGATAGAGTCCCTTCTGGTAAGTAATCTCGAGTCTGTTTTTCCCTTGTGATTGACACTTTGGTGCGTTTCATCTTCGGATGTTGAGGAGCATCGACCCCTCCGATGATCATATGGATGACGTGCTGGGGTTCGTCTTGTTCATTTTGTTTGTTGGAGTCCTTGTTTCTGAAGTGATTCTTAGCTCGGTCACTTAGAAATTCTCGAAGGTGACCGTTATTGAACAACTGGGCTACTTCTTCCCTCAATTGTCGACAATCCTCCGTCCTGTGGCCATGTGTGCCATGATATTTGCATATTTGGTTGGGATCCCTTTGTGTTGGATCAGTTTGCAAAGGTTGAGGCCACTTGGTTTCTTTGATGCGTCCGATAGCCGATACGATGGCAGCCGCATCAACATTAAAGTTGTACTCCGATAATTGTAGTGCCTCTTTGGGACTGATAGATCTATCGAAGCCATTCTTGCTCATCAGTCCCCGTGAGCTTGGACCTCGATCATTTCTTCTTTCATTTCGTGCAGAGTTTCGCCCAGACCCGCTGCTCCTAGGGTCTCCACTATATGGCTGATATCAGTCTCTATTCAACCTTGGTTCTCGATCATCCCTCTTGATTCCATCGACGGGTCTGATAGGATAAACGAACCCAGAAGGATCCCCAAGTTGATCGTCCTCGACCCTGATCTTTGACTGATACCGATTGTGCACATCGGACCAAGTGACAGCTGGGTGTTCTATCAAATTCTGCTTCAACTGCTGTGAAGCCACTAAACTTCGAACACTGAGAACTTGAGTGAAGGCTTGAACAACCCAATCGACGGCGACCGGTGTCAAGTACATCCGTTCCATTTGGAATCGAGACACGAATTCTCTGAGCATCTCGTTGTCCTTCTGCCTTACCTTGAAAAGGTCCGACTTCCTAGTTTCGACCTTGATGGCCCCAGCGTGTGCCTTTACGAAAGAATCTGCAAGCATAGCAAACGAGTCAATAGAATTAGGCGGTAAATTATGGTACCATATCATAGCACCCTTCGACAGGGTCTCTCCGAATTTCTTTAGTAGGACAGATTCGATCTCGTCATCCTCTAAGTCATTCCCTTTGATAGCACACGTGTAAGAGGTGACGTGCTTGTTCAGATCGGTTGTCCCATTATATTTAGGAATCTCGGGCATGCAGAACTTCTTGGGGATTGGCTTTGGAGCCGCACTCGGGGGGAAAGGTTTGATACGAACTTTTTGAAATCCAGTCCCTTCAATATTGGTGGTGCCCCCGAGATTTGATCGACCCTGGAGTTATAAGTTTCCACATTCTTGTCGTTTTCCTCGATTTTCTTTTCCCCTGACTCGATTCGCTTTGTCAGTTTTTCGAGCATCTTCATGATAGCAAGATTAGTCTCCGATTCTTTCTCGCTCGATTTCCTTGAAATCGATTCGACCCTGTGTACAACTTCCTGGGATGGCTCGAGTTCGACCCTGCTTGGTTTGTGATTCTGGTTTTGGAGCTAGGCTATTCCTGCTTGCTGAGCCTGCAACATTTCAAAGATCACCCGCAGGCTGATCCCGCCATCTCCGCCGCCACGGGCGCTCTGAGCGGCTGATTGATTTCGGGATTGACAGCCAAATTTTCGTTGATGGCTACATATGAACTGACGTGGATTGGATCTACAGTCGGGACTCCATCGAGGCCAACCGGGGGTACATCGTTCCCTGGTGCTATGTTATCATTTTTGCCGTGGTGGCCAAAATTATTGTCAATGTGTTGGGATGCTGACTGAGAGTTCGACATTTTTTAGTCCCGTAATCAAAGATACTTCAAAGAACAAGTGTAAAATAGTATGTGTCACGAAAGTTTGTACCAGGTAATCACTATTATCCTTAGCCCCACGGTGGACGCCAAATTGTTTACCCTAAAATCGGATAACAATTTGATTTATACGCGGTTTTAAGGACATGTGATATAACTTGATATAAATTAAGAAAAATAAATTAGTATTGAAATTGACGATAAAAGAATAAATGCAAACCACACAAATTAAATAGCATTGGATGTTCCAATCTCGAAGGGCTAGCCCGATTTTGATCGTATACAACATTATTTAAAAATAGGCTTCAAGTCTATTTTTTTAAGTTCTGACATACATTTATATTAAAGAAACTTAAGGCGCGCAGAGCAGTTATATGATTAGTTGTTTGAAAAATTGAAATACATGGAATGGGGCCAAGTCTACGTGCAATCCATAATGCTTAATAAGTCTGACCCTGACAGTTGCTTAATTTTGAGCTTCTTAAGCATCTCTTGAGGTCTAGAAAAAATAATACAAATATTAACTCTATGCATTGCTAATACCTTGTTTGATATATTTTTTTAACCTGTGTATAATTAATATTTGTATTAGTTATACATTATACTTGATATTATCCTATGCATAAGTAATGCATAAAAAATCATGACATTAGTAATACCAAGGCTATTAATGCATGTATTAGTATGGTTAAAGACAAAATTGTCCTTAAAGTCCCTTAAAGCTAGAGAATATAGAGGGTATTTTCTGAAATAACTATTTTTAAAAAAAATTATGCAATGCATTATAATTTTAATACACCACACCAAACAGTAAATAAGAAATAATATCGGCATAACTAATGCTTGCATTACTAAACCATGCATTACTAATACATCTTATTCCGCACTATTCTTGTACACCCTACCAAACAACTACTTTATCTTTTCACTTACAAATATCTGTAATATACTCCATTTATCTTCTTAAAAAGATACGTAAATAACCTTAACTATAAGAGTATTTTTCTAATTTATCCTAACGTTTCATTTAAATTAATACTCATCCAATAAAGGTAGATTTGGAAAAAATAATTAAAAATGTCTAAACCTTCAGTTGACTGTTGAGGATGAAGAGCATCAATATGTATAACGTCCCCAGAAAGCTGCCGGAGTTTTGGCCAATGGCCTACTCTTTTGTCACCACGCCTACTGCCATCTTTGTCTTTCTTCTTTTTCCGCTTTTCCTACTAACGATAATGGCCGATCACTCCCAAATATTTTAACCAAAAAGTTTTCCTCGATATTCAAAATTCTTAAAATGTCCTTAACATAAGTTTCAAAAAAGCAAAAGCAGTTTCTTCTTCTTATAATTCCCATACTACCCCTTCATTCTTCTTTCTTGACTTCACACTGAACTAAGGAGTACTATTTTCTCTTCAGAGTTCTCCACATTTCTCATGGAAAATCTCTCACATTCATTTGCTAAAAAGAGTTACCACCATGGAAGCGGGTTCATAACAACGGCAAGCAAGTCATTGTACGACGACGTTTTTGGTGGTCCGCCGAAGTTCGGGGTACCAACACTAGCTCCTCGTTACGAGGATTATACTGAGATTTTCGGAGGTTTTCACTCTTCTCGTGCTTCCTCTATTCCCATTTTGGATCTTCCGGTTGTTGAGGACGAGGGTGATCAGGTTTCATTCGATGTACATAGTTCTCATTTTGACTATTCTGAGATTTTCGGAGGGTTTAGTGTTGTTGATTTTGCCCTCTCTTATGAGGATTTGGTTCGTCAGTCTACCTCTGGTTATGATTCTTCTGAAGAGGCCTGGTATGTTCATTTTTTTGTGCATTTGGAGAAAAAAAAGGAAAGAAAAAAAAGTTCTATCATGCACTTTTTGGTTTCAATTTCCGTTTAGTTTTCCAATTCTGTTGAAAAAATGTGAGCTTGTTTATATTTCAACAATTGAACAATTGAGCTTGTCTAGGCCGGCCGGCGGGCCTTCAGATGATAAAAATGTCAGTAAAAAAAGGAGTCTAGAATATTCTAATAGGAGTACTGGATTTTCATTCTTGCAACAAGTACATGAATTCAAATGTTTATCTAGGCAAAGAGCTAATTTCTTTATTTGAAAGTAATTATCTTTTTTTTTTTGGGTATAAGTTATAGGTGTCTTTTACATGTCTCTGTCTGAACTTATACAAATCAACAGAATGTATCAATCAAATTTCATTAATGAAATCTTATTTCACTTTGGTAGTTAGGGTGGTAAGTTTTTCTTCAATTTGCCTGTTAAAATTAGTAGGATCAGTTTTATTCTTTTTTCAGTGCTCTCAATAAGAACTGGTAAAAAAAAAAGGACTTTTCCTTCCAATGGGGTTTATAGTTTTATCTTTTATTTATTTATGTTTTGTTTTCCTGATAAAAGGAGTCCAGCTCAAAGTGAGAACCTGTCAGATGAATCAGATCCTTCTGCTTTTTCTGAAAGGAGTCAGAGCTCTTCTAGTGCTGATGTTCCTCATTCATCCGATGGCACCAAGCAGTTCAACATTTCATATCACAAGACTTTCCAGAGGAGCGATGGCGTTGTATCAAATGGCATGACGCATGTAGCACATTTACATGCTATTCCCGGATATACTTACATGGTCAGTGGAAATCAGGCTTCTCGAAGTCAAGAAGACACCGAGCCACAACCTAGACAGGAAACTCTTGATCTCAAGCACAATGTGGACTTGAGTGGATCGGTTTTAGAAGAGAAGCGATTCAAAAGAAGCACGTCACGAAATATGAGCAGCAGTTATATCATTCATGGAAATGATTCAAAACTTCCGGAGACATGTAGTGAAGCTAGTTGTACTCCAGATAAGCCATTCTTAACTGTGTCGGATATCAGTTTAAGAACTAGGCCTTCAGGGTTGCCACCACCATCAAGACCACCACCTGGCCTGGCTGCCAAGAAAGGAAATTCCAATAGACTGAATTCAAGACCCAAAGCTTCAAAAAGTTGTGCTTTTGAGCAAAAGCAAGGTGATAATCCACAATCTTACTTTGATGTGGACATATATGCAAGTTCATCAGCAGTGGCGTCTACTGCAGCTATAAAAGATGCAATGGAGAAGGCTCAAGCAAAGCTTAGAAGTGCAAAAGAGCTAATGGAGAGAAAGAAGCAAGATCTAAAATGTTACTCAAAACTCCATTTGGAGAATGGTATTTTGGAAGAAAGACCAAGCAAGACATTTGACAAAGATGACATGGCACAAAACATGCGTGTTGAAGAAATGGACGAAGTCTTTAAGAATACCAAGGTAATTTCAGTTAATACTGAAGAAGAAAAACATTTCAAGTTTACTGGAAAAAGTGAAGAAAGTGAGCAGGGTAATCCTAATATGTCATCTCAACCACCATATAAAGCTGAAGGTAGAGTTGCATGGAGGGAAGGTGCAGAATTTTTTGAAGTAGTTGAAACTTACCCATCTTCTAGGTCTTCTGAGAAAGTCAAGAATGAATTTGGTTTGCTGAGAAATATTGAATCACATGAATACAGACATTTTGAAGCAACCATTGACAGACTTGACCATCCAGAAACTTGCAACAGTGTTGCAGCAAAGGAGGCTCTGGATAGCGAAGAGGGAAGTGAAGAAAAGGTAGGTAAAGGGTCTTACCAAAGGGGTATTACGCATCAAAGATCAAAAGAAGATTTGGGTGGTCAATTGGAGCATAAGGAGACAGTAAAAGCAGCAGAAAGCTTATCTGACGTTAGTACGAGTGAGAAACATGTTAAAGTGGACCAGCAAGCGGGAACGAGTAAGACGCTAATCAGCACTTCTCATGAAAGCGTAGAGGACAACAGACGAGGTGGCCAGAATGTGAGTGGTGGCAGTAGAAGATTAGATGATCAAAAGGGATTTATAAACATTGATGATATAAAGCTGATGGTAGAGTCTGAGATTGAAGAATCTGAGGGAGGGCTTAGTGATGATGAGGATGAAACAGGAAATGGACAGAGAGTAAAGGATATAGTCCAGCAGGAAAGGAAGAAGCAACGTGATGCAGTTTCTGAAAGAGATGAAGGCGCTCTTCACCAGGAGGAGAATGCAACGAGCCCAAAGGAGGATTTTAGATCAGAAAAGAATGATGAGAATTCGGAGTTGGCTTGTAAACAAGAGAAGAATGAGAGAGACAAAGAGACCGATTTCAAGTGGGACCCAAAGGATCAGGATGCAAAAGGTTCTTTTGACTGGGTGCAAGAGGAGAGCCAGTTTAGAGTGGCTCTCGAGAAGAAAGAGCATGAAGGGGAACAAAATGAGCCTCATGAAGGAGAAGAAACTGAGAGAAGAGGGGATGGCGCATGTGAAGGAGAAGATGGTGATGTGGATATGACCGAGGTATTGGAGCAGCAAAAGAGTAGGACGAAATCCCCTATGGGTTCCAAAGTAGAATTTGAGAACATATCTGAAGAGTCCAGTGAGTTTGACGGAACTGAACAAGCAACTGCATGTGATAATAAGTGGGAAGAATTGCGTGAACAGACCGAAGATAGCGCACCTATTGAGATGGTTGGATCTGTATTGAAGAACAACAATGTGGAAGTTCACATGGATGCTATGGCATTTCATTGGGCCCGCCAACAAAATGATGAGACTTTACGTGTGAACAAAATGTCTAAGAAGCTGGAGGAGAACATTGGAAAGCTGGAAGCAACTCAATCAGCTCATTCCCGCGAAGTAGATGAGAAATTGGAAACTGAGTTGCAAAATTGTGACAGAGAATCAGAAATTGGAGAGACCAATCTGCTGCCTAAAGATGGATGCGACTCTGTTTGCAAGAGAGAAGATGTCTTGGGACATGTAAAAGACCAAACCAGAAGAGCAGATGCAATAGGGTCTACTTCTTCGAATGTGCCATTGACCAATTCAAGTGAAGCTGGTATTTGCATAGGTAAGGCGTCTGATAGAATGAAGAAGACAGCACCTGAAACGGCAGATCATTCTGATCAAACAAATGTTACACCTCCTGAATGTCTGACAGCGAACATCAATGGAGTTCAGTCTGGCACTAGCCAGGAAATTACAGAGGAAAAGTTTACAGCTAATCACCCTGACCATAGGAACGGAACATATTCTGAGGGGGCAAGAATGAACTCCAAGGTTGTTCTGTCTGGCACTAACCAGGGAGTTACGGAAGAAAAGTTTACAGCTCATCAGTTTGCCAGGGAATGGGCCACAAACGCAAAGAAAATTGGAGATGCTTTGGCTGCTGTGCTAGAGGATGTTGAAGTGTTGTCAAGTACAGACCAGAGAACAGCAACTGGAGGTCCCCACAAGAAAGAGAGAGATTCAAATAAGATCATTACTCCTGAAGCACAAAAAATGGACGAAAGACTGACAAAAGAAAGAGAATTGGAGGAAGAATATGTGAGAAAGTTAGAAGAAGAGAGGGAGAGAGAAAGAGAAAGAGAGAAGGATCGTATGTCTGTGACTCGTGAAGCTCTGGAAAGGTCATATCTTGAAGCCCGTGAGAGAGTAGAAAGAGCTTCCATGGAGAGAGCTACAACTGAAATACGACAAAGAACTATGACAGAAGCCCGAGAAAGATTAGAGAAGGCATCTGCAGAGGCTAGGGAAAGATCTCTAGCAGAGCAGACATCTGTAGAGGCTAGGCTCAGGGCGGAGCGTGCTGCAGTAGAAAGAGCAACTGCAGAGGCTCGGCAACGAGCTTTCGAGAAAGCAATGGCTGAGAAGGCTATCCAGGAGTCACGTGAAAGAGTGGAAAGATCATCTTCAGAAAAATTTTCTGCTTATTCTAGGACCAACGAAATGAGACAGAGCTCTTCTTCTGTGAGTATCTCTTTTCCCTCTTAAACATTGAAATGCATGCCAGCTGTCTACTTATTGGGGTTTGTTGACAGGAACAACATGCGCATCATAGCACAGAAACCTCAAAATTGAGATATTCATACTCTTCAGCTCATGCTGGTATGTACATGAAGCACCAATACTGTTTTTTTCCCTTCCTTTCGTTTATAGTCTAGTTCTCCTCAGGTTTTCTTAAGAAGATTAGATTTTTCTAGTGAAGCTTCTAGTAAGATTGAATGCTTTGTAGGCATTGAAGGTGAATCACCTCAACGATGTAAAGCTCGGTTGGAGAGGTACCGCAGAACATCTGAGCGTGCGGTATGTGCTTCTTAATCATCTCCTCCCTATTAGAAGTACTTTTTTATGGTTTTTTTTTCTTTTGTAATATCTTTTATCTTGTTCTTGTTTCAGGCTAAGGCCTTAGCAGAGAAAAATATGCGTGATCTTCTAGCTCAGAGGGAGCAAGCGGAGAGAAATGTATGTATCCATCTCTTTGAGCAATACTGTATATCATGAATCATCTAGATTTCATGTTGTCTCACTTGAGGATTCCTGTGCAGAGATTGTCTGAAACTCTGGATGCTGAAGTGAAAAGGTGGTCAAGCGGGAAAGAAGGCAATCTACGTGCATTGCTTTCAACTTTACAATATGTATGCTTGCTCTTCTAATTCTTTATATGGATAAATACTTTTCTTTAGCTAATCAAAATATTAAGTTCTTTATATTGCCAAGTTCATGTTTAACTCTGTATCAAATAAATATCCATCAGGATAGGCGAAATAGTTCTTGATTTATATTTTACAGGTTTACCTTGCTTAGTCACTTAACTGCTTAAGTGAAAGGTGTTTCATTCTCATTTACTTGTAGTTATTTTAAAATGGAAAGAAGTTAATGTGTCAGGAAGTGCTTCTTTATTCTATTACTATCCTTTGCCAAATTATGTTAACTTGGCTAAAGTTAAACGTTGACCCAGATGAGCCTTTTCTATCTTGCATTTTCTTTGTCTCTTCATTTAATTACCTCTTTTAAATAATTGGTGTGGGTGTCTGCAACTATCAAAACAAGCATTCCTAACATTTGCTGACAGGACAGTGGTGCAGTTTTGAAACAGAAATGTGAAAGAATGTCCCGTCCATTTTTCGAACTTTTATATGCTTCCTGATCATTTTTTACTAAATAAGAAATTTGACCCATTAAATATGGAGATGGGAGGATTTAACTAGTGAAATTGTCGCCTATGATATGTAGTACTAATCATAGCAGTGAGAAAGCTCTGGTTGCCATCGAAATATGACTGCATGACATGTCAATATTGAAGATTAATTTAGAGTTTTTAATAGTACCATATAGCTTCTTTTTCACACATTATCATCATCATATGATTTTGGGCCAAACCTCCATAATGTAGAAACTCAATGTATCCATGCTCGTTTGCAGATTCTTGGGCCTAATAGCGGTTGGCAGCCAATTCCATTAACAGAAGTTATAACTTCGGTAGCGGTGAAGAAAGCTTATAGGAAAGCTACTCTTTGTGTGCATCCTGACAAATTACAACAGCGAGGTGCTAGTATTCAGCAGAAGTATGTATGCGAGAAGGTCTTTGATCTTTTAAAGGTGTGTTTTCTCATTTTTCTTTCTTTACTTATCTAAATTTATCTTACCTGTCAATGTTCTGTATACTAATGCAAGACTCTACTGCTGCTTAGTGGTTACTAGTTTGTCTCTTAGTTTGAATTGGCCGGAGAACGAGAATATTTACTGTATCGACCTAATCATTGTTACTGTTAGGACCTTTGTTACCATTGATAAAAGAATGTCTGAGATGTGGTAATTTTTGCACCACAGTTTTCTCTTAACTTGACATATATCTTATACTGGATATGGTGTATGGTACTTCTAATTGATGTAAACCTATCACTTTCACTCAAGTTCTTGCAAGACTACATATAAAAGTGGGGGAAGGGGACAAATCTGACAACACAAACGTCTATGGCTGCCACAAGTTTCAAAAGTCTTTCTTTCTTTAGAGTATAATCTGAGAAGTTTAAAGTTGTATTGTTTCTATAGATGTGTCATTATTTTTGGACAATCTAAAAAGGAAAGTGTGTCGCATAAAATAGGACAAAGAGTGCAGTATTTTATCTATACAGTAGCAGAACTTATTGGGAAAAAAAAAAGAACTTCATTGAGTAATTTGTAATGTGATGAACCACGTGGCTTATTTGTTTCATTTGTTCCCCCTTCTCACTCTTTTTCTTTAAGTCAAATTCTTACTATTGTCTGTTTTTCGTAAATTTGTTACTCTAATCAGTAAGGCCTTATTAGGGGGTGAGGTAAAGACAGACTATCATCTTTGACCTCATAGAATTTATTTCTACTTCTTCCTTAATTTTTTTTTTATTCCAGCCTGCTTTCACACCTCCCTCTTCCCACGCTTCTTTCACTTTTAGTATCTGCTTTGAGTTCTCATAGTTGTCATCATTCTTCTGTGTCTACAGGAAGCATGGAACAGGTTCAACTCTGAGGAGAGGTAGTGGAGGACTTGGTTGCTCGGCTGAACATATAATTTGCACAGTAGTGAGTAGATTCTCTTTCTTATTATTTTTTTAGTTTCTGCATGTAAGCGCAAGCTTTAGAAATCGGCCCTGAAAGAAAATGGGCTAACGTGGCTATTCATTGAAATGGAACTTTCTGTTAAAAGGCTGTGTTATTGTGCTACTATGTTATTGTTCTTATAATAATAATAATAAATTATTATTATTATTATTGGTATTATCATCTTTATACTATTATTATTATTATTATTGTTATCGCTAGTTTCTCTCCAAGGATTATGAAAGATGGATATGGGGTTTCAATTCAAGTTAACACAAGATCAATTCAAGTTAACACAAGATCTTGCTTTTGTAAAGCTTATAAATTGGAATACACGTCCTTGTATTAGAATCCAGATTTCCTGCAGTGATTAGAGATTCTCTTTCTCTGCAAAATATACCTAGGATCTCTGCCTACTGTGCAGCTGCCTTTAATTAGCAAGATGAGAAATTCCATATATTCATTGAATATTTTACTCATTTAGTATTATAAAACCTCTAGCAAGATTACATTAGAGAACCAAGGAGCAAACATATTGCTAGGCATGCTCGCCTCTTTATTTTGTAAGATTGCCGTTCTAGATTTCACCATTGGTTGACTTTCCTGTACCATTTGCAACTGGTGAATTCTCTTTGCCACTTGCATAGTTTTCAGCAGAAAGGGGAATGGCTTCTTTGTCACGTTCATTATCTGCTGTGCTTCGGGTAGAAAAGGGAAGCAACTGCTTCTGTCGACAAGTCTCAATGGCCCCTTTATACATATCCTCCAAAGTGTACTTGAATTGAAACCCCATATCCGTCAGCTTCTTTGACGAAAAATACACCACGGGCAAGTCCTTATCGATGCCTTTAAACCTGTTATATACCCAAGATTGAGTTACCAAGCCATCACTCAGTGAAGGGGCCAAGTATACTTGGGCATACAGAGGAATGAAGAGCTTACTCAGTAGGGACGTAGTACTCTGGCCATTTCTCTCGGACCATCTTTGCCACATCATAGATGATAGCATGATGGGACGCGCAGATGAATCTTCCCTCTGCCTTTGGGTGCTCATATAGGAAAATATGAGCCTCACAAAGATCATCCAAATGCACATATTGACCTTGTTTAATGATGCAATAGTGAGCTTCATTCCCTGCATTCTCAATCTGATTAAACCCATGATTGTAAAAAACTGTTTCTTAAAATAATTAGTATGGTGTTTACTTAGAAGAGGAAGTATTCATCTTCTGTACCTTGTAATAAGATCTAAAGACTACACCATACCAGTAATTAGTGAAAGTGCAGTGATTAAGCTAGGTGGGAATGCAGGCGTGAGGAATGGACCAACAACCAGCGGCGGTATGATGCTAATAAAATCAATGTTATTCTTTTTAGCTGCTTCCATTGCGGCCTTCTCTGCCAGTATCTTCGAAACAAAATACATCTGCAACGAAAATAATTTACCAGGCAGTAACGATAAAAATACTGTTTCTGTACATAGAAATGGTATTCCTAAAAGATTATAAAATAACCAAACGTACCCATCCTGTCATCTTCTTAGCATATATAAAGTCCAAGTCGCTCCAGCTGGTCTCGTCGTAGAAGAGTTTTTGGTGCTCTTGGACATCGAGAGTTCCAGCAGATGAAGTGAAAACCAGCCTCTTCACTGTGTTTGCTTTAGCACATGATTCTATGATGCTTAACATTCCCCTGACTGTTGGTTTAATTACTTCATTCTGTCACGTGTATCAATGTCATAGTGTTACATTAGAATTGATCAGCCAGAAATGTGAGAATGCAATAAAGTATAGATGAGTTACTCTGTTACTGTTCTAGCTTCATAGTACCTCAGGATCCTTGGACTCAAAATCCATAGGTGTTGCCACATGAAATACTCCTTGACAGCCTTGAATGGCTTCATCAAAACTTCCTTCCACTGACAAGTCCGCTTTCCACAGCGTCAAGTTCGTGTCAGCTTTTGGCAATTCCAATAGATGCTTGACCTTCTTGTTGTTCTCTGCAAAAGTTTACTCATAATGCAGTTTGTATGGATTGATGAGTGGCTGGAAAGGAAAAGAGAGAAAAATGTACCAGGATCACGAACAGTAGCGTGAACATTATAACCACGTTCAAGGAGTCTCATGACAAGCCAAGAGCCAATAAATCCAGCAGCTCCAGTGACGCAAACCGTTGGCGCTGCCGGAGGAGCATGAACAGCTGCATGAGCTTCACTTGCCATTTTCAGAAATGAAAGGTAGAAGAGTGGGGAAAATCTTATGTAACTGGGCTAACTAGTTGTTAAATTACAATGAGACGAGCTTTATTTATGTTTATGTCTTTGTCTTTATACTACTTTGAGCGTAGGTGGTGTTAGGAGTGGTAATGTTAGATGGTATGCACGTGCTCAACGCACCGTTAAGTTACTTCATTGAATTAACCAAATATGACTGACTGGTTGGTGAGAGGAAGAAAATGGGTTATTTGACAGCCACTTTCTTATCTATATATAGAATTAATTAATTAAATGTACCGTGCTGAAGAAACATCTTACTGATCCATATGCCTTACCTTTTGGATTTTGGTGTATTCTTTGGAAATGTGAAAATTTGGTTAGCGTGTCCACCTTCGTTTTACCAAATTCTCAAAATAGTCAACAAATTAGAGGATTAACAGTTACTCCCTCCATCTCATATTAACAGTCGTGATTACTAAAAATAGTTGTCTCAAATTACTCCATTCGTTCACTTTTACTCCCTCCGTCTCATAATATGTGTCGTGGTTACTAAAAATAGTTATCTCAAATTATTTGTCATTTTAGAAGTTCAAGACAAAATAGATTATATTTTTCCTTTTTACCCTTAATAATCAATTGCATTCACATTTGCTAAAAAATATCGATAATGCCATTGATAGAGATGACACATAAATTGAAAAAACATTTAATAAGGGTAAAGTAGTCAAAAATTATTCTTTCTTAAGCGGCATGCACAAGATAATTACGACACATTATGATACGGAGGGAGTACTTGGCATGTATACTAAAAATAGATTTCATTTTTACTTGGCACTTTACGCATATCAAGAGAAGACAATTTTTTTTTTCTTGTTATACCCACAATATTTATTACTCATTTCAAATCGTTTTCTCAAATCCAATAAAATATGTGTTAATTAATATGGGTATCATCGTAAATTATGCACTTCATTTATTATTTTTTAAGGGTCGTGAAAAGTCAAAACATGCCAAGTAAAAGTGAACGGAGGGAGTATTTGTCATTTTAGAAGTTCAAGACAAAATTGATTGTTTTTTTTCCTTTTTACCCTTAGTAATAATTTTGTTCTTGAAGATGGAGATAACACATTAATAGAATAAATATTCAATGAAGATGGATTATATCTTAAGACATAAATAAGGGTAGAGTAGTCCAATTCCTTTCCTAATTAATATTTTTTAAGGAGCGTGTAAAAGAGAAACACGACACAGACAAAGGGAGTAATTAATTGATTGAGTTCATCAACCTTTCAACTTACATGGGGCGAAAGAGATCACGAGAATTAATATCTCATCTCCAAAATTTAAAGGAATTTTTACCTCCTATAAAAAAGGTTAACACCTTATTTATTTTAAATAAATACCATTTAAAAAAATTATATTCTATAGATATCTTTTAAGGTTTATAGCAAAATATTTAATTTTGGTTACCTCCTAGCCCTAAGCCACTAAATACGCTAATCAGTTACACTATTTTCTTTCTCTCTCTACTTTGATACATCCCATTCTCTTCCCCATCCCATTAAATTTTTCGATCTCCTCCTCCTTCCACCGGATTTGTGCAAAGGCGTAGGGGAATTCACTGGGTCAGCAGGGGAAGCAGCCATAGCGAGGCAAGTGGTACTGCTTGAACTGCTACGGATCAAGAAGTTGTCTTGCGGCAGCGTCACGTCCATGCCCGCAAACATCAGCATTATTGTTGGAATTGTAATGGGGACTATGTAGCAAGTGTCGAATTCGCCAAGGCTTGTCACTGTCGTTTTCCTTCCCATGCTCCTCCTAAACTCGTTTCTTCTTCAGCGATCTTTCTCGTTTTCTTCTTCTTTCTCTCATCATTGCTTATGGAATCATGGCCGGAATCCGATGGGTCGTCGGAAAACCGTCGACTAAAATAGGTCGTCTGAAGTTTGGGGTTGAGCAATTTGAAGATTCTATTAAATTTTTTTTAAGAGCATTTCAATGTATCTCGCTGTATTTCTATGTATTTCATTGTATTCACTATCTTTTTTTTCATTGTAATTCAATGTATCTCATTGTATTCAGTGTCTTTTTTTCTCATTGTATTTCAATGTATCCCGCTGTATTCTATGTATTTTATTGTATTCACTGTCTCGCTATATGCCATGAATGTATTCATATGTTTTTTTTTAATTAATATAATTTATGTATTCAGATGTATTATATAATTTCTCTGAAGATTGCTATGTTTTTGGGGTATTTTTCGATTGAGAATCTTTTTTATAACTGAAAAATACAAAATTTGTGTGTTATAATTGAGTTTATTGAGTTGTATTAGGATTCTATTATGTTAATTGATTCACTTCCGTTTTAAAAACAGTTTAATCCCCTATTTTACGCCGTGAATATAGTCGAATACAGTCAAATACAATAATCTGTCCAGCTGTAATCCCATGTTTCACTCCATGAATACAGTCGAATACATTCGAATACAACAACTGATTAGCTGGATTTCCCTGATTCACGCCTATTTTTGCTACTGTATTCATGAATACAATAGCTTAAATACATCAAATACATCTTATAACCACATAAAAGGTATCTATAATCCGTAATATAGCAAATGGTATCTATAGATGGCTAATTACTACTAAAAGATAGTGCTTTATGAAAATTTCTCAAATTTAAATAGCTTGGGATTGACAATTGGAGACAAGCTTTACTGAAACATACAAAATAATACTCCCTTTGAACACTAGTAATAATATTGTTACATTTTTGACACAATGTTAAACTTTTGGTATAAAATTTCATAACAGTAATTAGTGTATAATTTTTTTCATTTTATTTCATATTTACTGCGGACCATATATTTCTCCACTCACACTACAACAAGGCTCCGTTGAAATTCAAAAATAGCCAGATTTACAAGTGCTCATTTAAAAATAGCCACAGTTTCAAAAGTAATCGAAATTTAGCCGCTTTTCATGTAAAGATAAATCTGAACGAAAACACTGTTCAAAATCCGGAAAAATACTCCAGTATAATATACTGGAGTTCCAGTATATTGTACTGGAGTTCCAGTATATTATACTGGAACTTTTCGCGTGTTGGAGTTCCAGCATAATATGCTGGAAGTTCATACACAGGTGCACCGATCTCCAGTTATTATGCTGGAACTTTCCGTGTTGCAGCAAAATAGTGGCTATTTTTAATAACTTTGCAAATGCTGACTATTTTTGAATGACCAATCAAAAAACTGGCTAGCCCGTGCTATTTTTACTGTCTTTAGCGGGACGAACTGAGGAAGGAACCTAATGACAATCTTTACTCTCGTGTTAACCATTAATTTGACTTGACTTGACCTTTTTCCATTTTGCACGCACCATATCTTTTATTTTCTTATTCGTGTTTTTTTCTATTTTGTTCTCATGTATAATTCAACAGAAAAGTGTATATATAAAATTATTAAAACTAATAGAACAAAATGCAAATTACAAAAGAAAGCATATATTAAGGGTACCTAAAGCAAAGAACTCTTGACTGGAAAGGTACTGCCAGGGCAAAGCAACAGTGCAAAATAAGGAGTGGTCCATATTTACCTATCAACCTCTTAATATTTTGGTTTGCTAATACTTAAATATAGCTGCTGTAAGCTAATTACGAACGTTCTATCACTTTTCTTACTCTCAAAAACAGAACGTACTCGTTCAACCACGTTGGTCTTGTAGTAATCAAAATAATGTATCCACATTGATTTGTTTTCAACAACAAGAAAGATATAAAGAGAAAAGTTAAAAATTGTAGTCATTATGGACCAGTCCATGCATTAATAGCCGTTGTATCTTAGATGAATGTGGCGGCTTCAACATCTATCATTCATATTTCATAGAATGCCTTGGTGGAATATTTAAGCTCCATTAGTCAAACTTCCATTATTATTGTTGTTGACCAGATATACTTCATTATATACTTCATTATTAGGATTTTAATTTTGGCACGAGAAGTCAAACTCGAAAGTTTTCCAACTTTCCGCAGCTTCTTTAATCAAAGTTTAAAATACCTCAACTAATACGACTTAAATAACAGTCTTAATTAGCCAGCCCAACCTATATAACTATATAACATATCCTTTGTTTTCTTCATATTACAATCTCTAATTTAATCTCTTGCTTCATTTTAAATAAGCCTAGCTAGCTAGTTCAAGAAATTTGGAAGTTGTGTTATACAGTATTTTGTAAGTTGTAGTAATTAATTGAAGCCATGTTTAGAGCAATGAGTACACGAAGAGACTATAGAGGTTATGAAGAATTGATTAAGGAGGAAGCGCCTTCTGCTCCATTGATAATAATGGAGCCAAAGTTGAGCAGAAACAGAACAGTTCCAGCTACTGCTAAATTCTTTAGCTCTTTATCCAAGAAGGTGACGTCCGTGGACAATTTCCGAGCGACTACTCAACTACAGGAAGCAAAAAAAGCGAGTAAGATTCACCCAATATTCAGTCTGTTTGAAACCAAGAAGAAAAAGAAGGCAACTGCAAGGCCTGAATTCTCAATGTATATTCAGTATGTTAGAGAAGGAGGTTTTGGAGATGTATTGCAGACGATTTCCTTCAAATCCTGAATTCTCAAGATCATCGAGTTACAATTTTATCGTAACTAGTATGTGGTTTTAGTACAGAGACCCATATATATAGAATTTGGAGGGGATCATGAGCATGCTCATGTTATAGTCACGGTGTATATACGTCATAGATTAAGAATGTTTGTTTGTTTGCTCTATTTCTTCTCACTTCTCTTTTTGAGAGATTATGGGATAGGTGTTGGTTGTTACTAAGTACAAATTTATTGCAGTATTGCGTGATTTTGGGACAAGGTTAATTCAACTTGTTGGCAGTGTATGGGTCAAAATCAAATCGAAGAAATTCAACATGCAGAGACAATTGTCATGAGTAACCTGCGAATCGAATTGATCAATAAGGCCGAGGTCGAGCAGTAACCAATAAGGCCGAGGTCGAGCAGTGATCAATAAGGCCGAGGTAAGGCTGTATTCTGGGTCGGGCCCGGGACTAAACGGGCCAAACGGGCCCGGGCT